GTGCTAATTGATTCTAACCATTCACAAGCAGGAATGCAATCAATAGACATGAGAGCTTCCAGCATGTTATCTCTACCACGAGCAACCACCAGGGGGCAATCCCTGAAATCCTGCATGATCAAGTCAAAACACACAATGACAACATGCATATAGTAAATCAGAGCAGACCCTGCTGTGTTTTCTTTCACTCTAGGGTGTTAGCAGAATTCCAATTTTGTGATTTTCTGCAAACATGGAAAGACTTTATTTCTCTGCAGCTCTGTGGCTCTCTTAAATATTAGATACAGATGGGGTGTGGTAGAAAATGCCAGCTATTGCAGAACTGCATATCCAGAGAGTCAGTCATTCCAGACTAACAGAGCCACCTACAAAAGGGCTGACAGCTGGCATGAGAAGTCCCCACATGGACATGCATGATGCCAGTTTGGGTGACTCCCAGAGGAAGACGCCAGCTGTGCCACCGAAGACAGGCCGTCATGCAGGGCAACAGGGCAGTTTTAGACGGGTGTGACTTGCCTATTTACTGCTTTCTCTAAAACCTGGCGCCAGATGGGATCAGCAGGTATCTCCTTCTTTGTTGGGAGAGCGAGTATTGTACTACACTGGCAAAGCAGGTCACGGCTTGAACAGGGAGAGTCGGTGGAGTCTAGAGGAACAAAACGACACCTGCCTATCAAAAGGAGGGACACAAATGCAGGCTAACAACAACAAAAAAAGCTTTTCTTGGATGAACTGAGATGAACAAAACAAATGTAAAAGAGGCTTAAGAAAAAAACAAAACCTTTCTCTGGCAGCTAAATTAAACCGACCCCAGTTTTCTCTGCCTGGGTGGTTTCATCATTTTCAGTTTGTACAGTTGTGCGTTCGTCTTTGGCTCCAAACAAATGCACGTGTACCGACACAAGCACACTGACACAGAAACGGCCCGAACCCCGCTTGAAAAGAGCACGTTGTCTTTCATCTGTGACGCACCATCGAGCATTTGTCACAGCTTTTTAAACAGATTTACTCTCAGCATTTCGATGACTTCAGCAAGCAAACACACACTCGCTGTGATTATATCAGCATGATTCACTTCCTCAAACATGCAGGTCTGCTGCCTCCATAGTAATCCAAGTAAATCTGGCATACAAGGACTTTTTTATATTTTTTTGGCAATGTGGCTTTTCCTTCCTGGGAGAGGCAGAGGTGTGACATGCAACAAAGGTGCCTTAACTTTTAAGGAAGCCCCTTAGGTACAATTCTAAACTCAAACCATGCAAAAGCTGCCTGTAAAATCAGGCAAAGGAACTTTTTAGATAATACTGAAACACCCTTTTTACCCTTCTCTCATGATATTTAATAATAGTGCTGAAAAAAAAATGACACGCACAGTGGACACATACCATGACTTCAGTGCTTATGAGCATGTTAACACTAAATGTCTCCCTTGCCAAAGTGGTGGTCAGGGTACTGTAGCAATGTGTCACCCAGCATCTGATCGCATTAAACATGGCTGACCAGCCGTCTGACTCACTGTTAGGAAACACACAGCAATAGGACAGTGACCCTTGGCTCCTTCAGTGGCAGCACTGGTGCATGTTATCCACACAGAGGCCTTCCACTAAAACATCCACTTACTCCCAAACACCTCGACCGCTTTGCTTTGTATTGCCGTTTTAGCTTATAACTGAAGCACTTATAGTTTATCCCACTAGTTGTATAGTAGGAGTATACAATTTATTTATATGGCTATTTTTAAGCATTTTATATCAGCAAAATGAGCCAGCCAATTGGGAATTGAACCTGTTGCTCGCCGCATTTGCACAAATTCAATATGCACACAAATCTTACAGACTCCATTTCTCATTAATATTATGATTTATGTGGAGTGCATTTACAGGGCAGACACTGCAGGGTCTTGTGTAATATTTTGTTACATTGTTCAGCTGAACTCGTTTATTCGTAGGCCGTCAGAGGAACACGCATATATACAAAGCATAACTAGAACAAACTATTTGAAAGTCCGTCTACTTTGCTTTTGCATTAAAATCTGCATGTGAGACAAAAGAAATTGAAAGAGTGAAGACATGACAGCTGGAGAGCTGAAATATGGAGCCTAGTTTGAAACCAATTTCCGCAGACTGCTTGCCCTGTAGCAAACAAATCCCATTCAAAAATGCTATTGTACAGAGTTAATTTGCAATTTCTGATGAAACACTTTTATATTGTTATATAAGAAGGACTTTCAGCATTGAATTCAGCTTTGTAAAGATTGGGATCAGCATTATATCCTCTGCACTACCACAGGCCACATGAGCGGTCAGACAATCACGCACTAACAAGATAGATCTCAGAAGGCTGTTACCCAAAATGACACCAAAGGCTTGCAGCCGCGCTGGGAAAGATTAAAATTCATAAAGCAAAGCTAAGACTTCCTGGGCAGTCTCCTGTCTTTACTGTGTGTGGAGCTGCATCGTGAGTTTGACCACAGAGCACGTCAAAGAAGAAGAGATTACGCTGCTGATTGACAAACCGTGGTTTAACCAAAAACATCTGGAGATTACACCCCATTGTGTTATCACGCTGCTGAATATTCTGAGACGAGGGAGAAAGACCCCAAGTGACAGAGAGAAGGGCAGGATGTTATGGTTCTCACAACCTGCAGCTGGGAGACGGTAACACGGTTTGACTAGCCACCACAGTCACGTGACACGCTCACTGGCAGCAGGGCGAAGCAGAGGTTACGTCAGCCTGGCCTCTGGAAGTAGTAGTAGTGGTGGTGGGTGATGGTGGTGGAGGGGTGGGCTGAGCAGCTGTTGCAGCTAGTGCGCCAAAGGGCTGCCCATCCTCAGTGCATGCCAGTGTCACCGATTGAATTCCTGCTAGCTTCTGTGCATTCAGACATCTCAGAGATCTCACACACGTGAACTAAAGAGTTGTTTTCTGGGTGCTTCTGATAAAATTATTTAAACAATATTTCTGCTGTTATTTGGAGAAAAAAAGAGAAGTCATTAAAAAAATGAAGCAGTCATTTGCAGCTGGACTCAATTTTAATTTTTTTAGGTTTATTATGAGTTATGGAACAATTAAAATTAAGTTTAATTGTAGCCAATGATAATTAAAGAACAGTGGTGACTTGTTTGGGAGTTTGAGGAAGGAGGAGAGTTTTGCTGAGAAATGCTGATTTCTGTTCTATATTTTGCTCAAATAAATAAATAAACCAGTTAATCACAAAAAAGTAGCCATTTGTTCCAGCTTTGGTATTTTTCTTTATTAGTCAAAAGCTCTTTGTTTTTGCATATAACACAGAGCACCAATAATATGAAGGCAGGCTACAGTAATGGATTACAGGCTTTAGAGTCTTGTAATGAGATGGATGCCTAAATGGCTTCTAGCCATGGAATGTAATTCTTTGCACAGGGTGTTTTCTACCTTTTTCATTTTTGTATTCCACTTGTTAAAATACACCACCTTCCAAACACAGCTACATAATATAAAAAAATAAAAATTAAAAAAATTAAAAAAAAAGGAAAACTATCAAAATAAGACACCCCGGCTCTGCCCCCAAGCCCTCCTCCTCAAATTTCTCAAAACTGACATGGGAGACACACCCTTACACTTATGACAATGTTGAAACCCTGATTGCTCTTTTTAAAATAAGGAATCAAAAATCAAAAAACATCGTTCCCTCGGGGGCATGTCAAGCATACTTCATGCACTTCTTAGCATGAATGAGTTGAGAACAGATCTTGGAGGACAAGCCGAGAGCAGAGGGGAGTGCAAAGTGTTGACGAGGCATGAGCTGGACACTAGAGTGGCAGACGGAGGGGATAAATGAGCGTGCTGTCACACTGCAAACATTATGCCTAGAGGAAGGAAGGGAAACTCTGTTTGGCTTGATAATGAGGTGCCCAAGTCAGAAATATTGCATCTACTGCTTCCATCAGCAACTTCCACTGCGTACGAAGAGAGCAAGGCATAAGATCGGCTTCATTTCTGCATATAGTCTCACATGAGCTTGGCTTAAATCTGCACCAAACTAAAGTATTTCCATTTATCGTCATTAAATATTGTTCCATTCTTGGATACTTATTTTAGATGGCTCTAAAGTGGCTTGTGTGTGGGGACATGTAAAGCACATCTGAGGCTGGGTCAGAATTCACCAGCCTATTGTATATCGTATTAGACAAGTGACCTATATAAGAAAGCCTGGATGAGAGGTAGCATGACAAGTCTGGGCAAACTAAGATTTATAATGGTCAAATATGGTAATTTATTAAAAGGGGAAAAAAAGGAGGTCAGTGATAAAAATGATCTAATGAGCACCACATGCAGGGTTTCTGGAACACTTGAGTGAAGGTCCGTTACATATAAATGAACCAGCTCTTGCCAAATCAGTGAACACAACGCTCATTAGCGGCATCGCTGTGGTATAGTGCATTAGTAGGTGCTACTTAGCAAACACACATCTACATGTTTTAGCCATCTATTACCCAGTAATGTAGGCTGCTCTTGTTGGTTATGCATCTTAGAATAAACAAGTGATAACAGACAAAAAGCAACTAACAGATCACACTCCACTGGAGGCACTGTTTGTACTTCAGATCAGTGCTCGTTGTGGTTACTGGTTTTTTTTTTCCAGCTTCCTGGAAATACCAAGTAAGTGTTTGTAGCCTGTACATTGGCTGAATTCTCTCTGCTTAGCCAAAGAGCGGCACAAATAGACACAAATGCAGGACTATGAATCCAGCTTAAGCTGATCAGTACCAGATAAATCCTCTTTATATTTTGCAGTATACCTGTGTTTTGATTCTCATCTCTGTGGTGACAGTCGTACCAGCAGGGCTGCATTTTACATTCACCAGCAGTGATTGGTTTACCAGAACATGAAGAGGAAGCGACAGCTGTAACAGAGACGACTAAGCTTTGCACTGCAGGTTAACATTTTCAACATATTTTAAAAGGCTGATTAATGATTAATGCTGAACATCCGGACTGGGTGTTGGATGAGATATGGTCATAACAATAAGGCCGACATTCCAACTATGACACGATCCTGCCTGTATCATGTGATACACTGCATGGGAAACGTCGACTGTTTCTTTTTTCAGTAAGAGGAGATTATCATCATGATTTGCTTTCTTTCCGCTGTTTCGTCATTTTCTTGCCGTTAGTTTCTTCTCATTAATTGCAAATTTGTTTTCCTTTATCATGAAATAAACACTTCTACAAGTGCCCACCCAGGTTCCAGTTCTTGTAGATCAAATTAACATTTACAGTCACTGCATATACTGCAAATATCACTCTTGGACATCTGTACATTAATGACATGTCACGTCTGCAAGTGTACAATATACTGGTGTATTACTATTTAACCACAAAGTTCCATGATTTACGTGATTTCTTTTTCCCCAACCAGCTTTTAGCAGTTCAAAAGTACAAGACAAAACTAATAAACATGTTTAAGAAAATAATCATGAAAACAATGATTAGTTTTTTGATTCAGTCAGAAAATAGCTACTCGTTAACTTTCTGTTGAACTCCAGAATCTTCAGCTAAATTTCAAGAACAGAATGTACTCTATATCCCTAACCAAACTGGTGTGGGGGGCACATCCTGTGGCTAGTGGCCAATACTCCCCTGCTGAGGCTTTTGAAACATCATCAAAGTGGCCTTCCCACAGAGGTTAGTATCAGCAGGAGACAGAATGGTGGTGTGATGAATAAACATTAGTTTGGCTAACTTCTTGGACCAGGATGACAGCAAACTGGACTCAATCCAGGATGATTTCTTGAGTGAGTTACTTCTGAAGCTGTAGTCCCCAAGACATTTTGTACAGCATCACTGCACACCTTACTCAACCACACCAGCTTACTCAGCTTACACAAAGCCAGCATCTCTCCACTGGGTCTCTCACTGCCACCGCAGGACCAATAAACCGTGACACTGTTACTATGACAATGTCTCACCTCTTCCCCTCTTCAGCAGAGCAAGCACAAACTGGGATGTGGGAGCAGGAGGAAGGAGGAGGACATACACCCATTTTTACAAGCACACACACACCTCTCTCTCCGATGTTGATTCAAAGAGACTTTTACATTGAAAACCTCCCATCTTTCCCATTCTCTTGAGACTGAGCTCTTGATGTGGATTTTTATGAATCTGGATTCAGAGCACAGACCGTCTACTAAGTCACATGATGCCATCAACCATGACCACAACCAGGGTCGCACCACCCACACTGCATCCTGATTTCTGGTTTGTTAATAACAAGGCATCAATTATTCAGTTTCATGACCAGGAGTGGGGCACAAACTATCTCAGAAGTGTTTACACTGAGACATTTTTGACATTTCTGCAGAACAAAAACACTCCATTTAGTA